CTGTCAACTGATACAACCATTATTTCTTTAACTGAATACAAGTTAAACAACTTTGTGTTACGAACGTGATATCTACAGGCTCAAATATGTTTATTTGCGTGCACTAACGCTGTTAGATAAACCCGACAACTAATAAGATAAACAGCATTATTCAGTTTTCCAAATTAATGTCTGTGTAGTTTTAACAGTGGAGTGAACCATTTCTTTTGATCCACTTAGGCATATACTTGTGTTATCAAAATAAGCTCACGAGTTAGTTGGCCTCTGATAAATTCACCAAAATTTTTCAAATCTGCACACTCAGTAATGATACCACTGAAAAAGATGATCACCACGAAATTCAATTTTGAATTGGCTAAAATGTTGTGGGTGTAATCTGATAGCAACATGTAATACTACATGACCTTACAGTGTGATTTTTCCTTTTCGAAGATACTGTACTTCCATAAGACTGAAGAAGTGTGTTCATTTTTATTGACATTGAACATAAATGATATTTTGCCAACCAATACAATGCATGTGATGCAAATTAATGTTTCACATCCAATAATTTTTAACTACAGTGGCGGAAAAATCTACGGTGAACTTTAAAAATCGATGTAGATGAGAAATACTTATGCAAGATTAGCATCACTTGTTTATTCAAAATAATATCTGGAACCGTATTAGCTTACGTACATCTTTGCATTGGGAAGTAAATGTAAATGGTGAAACGAAAATAATATGTGGCTGACATGCAAAAAATTTCTGGCTCTATAAAGATAAAATCAAATTTGATATCATTCACTGTTTTATGACGCATAAAATGGAATGGAATGATTTATTCTTTCGGTGAAAATCCAATCCATCAAAATACAAAAAGGCACGACTGTACTGTTTTAAAATTTAAAAGAGCAGGATAACAGGAAATTCAGTTTCGAGTTTTTCTTTCCTCGACTGTTTTTCCTGAAAGATATTTTATTCATAACAGTTAAAATTTCCTCACAAAGCAAATACAATTGTGATCAACCAGTTAAAACATCCAAACAGTCAAGTCGTAAAACGATAAACATCTGCAGCTCCAAATCACATATAATCAAAATATCGAAATTTTGCAAGAACATTATCTGCACCACTCAAATGTTAACCTGAATGCAGTCAGCTATAGAATAGAACTAGAATGTTTTCTCTTTAAAAAAATCTGCATCAATCTGTAAACTACTCTAATTTAGTAAACACTTGAAAGCTATCTTGCTCTAGCTTGAAAATTTGAACACTAAATGCTGTCGTATCATTTTGGAATCTAAAGCAAGACTTTTACGTTTTATGTCGAAACTTTGCGATCCAGTGACTCAAATTAGAATTCAGTCGTTCGTGTTTCTATCTCAAATATAAATATATTTCCATCCTCACAGTCCTCTTTCTAGGGAAAATTTATTAACCTGTCAACTAGCGGGTTGATTCAAGTTGTACATAAAACAAACCAACTTACAAGTTCTACAGAGTTCAATTAGCTGAGTTAAGAACATCCTTAATTCATTGTTGGATTAGTTTTTTGCATTTAAAGGTCACTTTATCACAAAGTGCCACAAAAAATATAACCCTAATCTACACTAGGGCTGCTTTTCTCCATTTACATTCGACCTATATTCTTGCCTTCAAGCAGTGCTGACTCTGATGCAGTTTAAAAAACTGTACAGTCTATTATCATACGTCAATGTACGCACTATTTATAAAATAAGATTTTAGCAGACTTCTTTTAAAAGTAAACAGTGACATTGTGCTATGCCGCTTGTAGTAAGAATGTGGTATGAATCCATATTTCTACTATTTTAAAATGACTTCATGATTCAATGCAGAATTCTTCAATGACAAAGCCTTATGACACAGATTTTAGGCTTTGTGTTCAAGGATTTAACTTTACTGTGAAATATGTAGTTAACCGGTTACAATAAGCCCACTAAAAGCTTAGCAAGTAAATGATCTTGATGAATCTCATCATAAATAGAGAATGTATATATTCAAACATATAAAGGAGCAAAAATTAGCTACTGGGTTAGATTTTAATTCCATTTCAGTTTGTTTATCAGATGTGTCAAGTAGTGAAACAGTATTATTTGCTAAAAAATATTTTACATACAGTTTATTATCTGTATTCACATCAGGTATATGAAACGAAGGTACTAGCATTCGTAAATAATCGCAACATGAAAGCTATATAAAAAAATCATTATCTTGAAGTTACTTTTAACTTTTTCTTTCTAAATACACTAAGTATGCATGATAGTAGAGTATTATTATTTTACGCATGAATTCAGTGAAAGTGTAAATTTTCAAGACGTTATTTGAATGGTTTCGAACATTAGTGCAGTAAATTTAGAATTTAGAAGTAGTGTACTTGCAAACAGGACAGCGATAATTGTTTTGATCAGTAAAGAGAAGCACATAGGCAAAGATTTAAGGACTTCAATATCAAAACCTTAAACAGATTTTAGTGTATTTGTAAAACCTTATCTTCAGATCGCACAACAGCTGTTCATTACTTAACTTGACATTCAGTTTACTTTTTATACCACTATTTACTAGAATGAATCAAAAGTATATTGTTCATGGTCTACTGGATCAAAGTACACATAAAATGAGAGAATCTGGGAGTAATAAAGACAAATACTTTGCCTCCTTTCCTTCAAACCATGAAAAGAGCTGTACAGTTAGGTAGACAACTACAATGGATGGATACTCGTGATTTTGTTTCAGTCTGTGGAGATGACCTTTAAAAACTAAGAGTTTACGAAACAGTGTTGTGGATAAAAATTAGTATCGCTTTTACAGTGATCAGTATATCGTGTGAGGCATGAGTTCCCCACTTATCTATGTCTCTCCATACAGCCACCCTTTATTAAGCCTTAAAATAGCCCAACCTTTACAAACTATTATTATTACTCTGTAATTGAAGTGAATCTTCCTAAAGATGACAGTAAAGTAAAACCAAAGTTAAAGTTTAAACTACTATCTTGTTCACGAAATCTGAAAACCAAACAGAGTTATATGCAGGTTCTGAAATCATAGCGAATATTTGTGTTTGGATTACCTTGTTTGCGTTTCATCCTCTGGACTGCGTGGAGGAAACAGCATAAACAAAATATGAAGATTGAATTGAAGAATTCATGTTCCTGGTGTATTCATTCACCAAAGAAATATGAATGTTTTATTATCAGCAAGCAAGAATCGTTAGTTTTTCTCGAGAAAAAACGTTTTACACAAGAAGATAATTCTATGTCCCATTTGTTAAATTCAACTTCCTTAATTTTTTTGGACTACCGAACTTTTCTCTGAGGGAGAACTGACAGCATCCATATGGTGGGAATTTCGATCTAATCTCATTAAAGCACTTCATCTAGAAAGACTGTTCTTAATAACAAATGAATATCGGAATCACGAATATGCATGTCTATGTGTATCCATAATTCTGTTATCAATAAATATTAGTTATGAAGTATGATGTAGTGTATCCATACAGGATAATTTGCGCTTGTTTCCTAAAATATTAGAACAAGTATAAACAATGACCAAGGCTTCTGTTTCTGGCAAAATTTCACTTCATCAGTCGACTCAACAAACACCAACGCTTGCAGTTAGTCACTGATTGTGTTTGTCAAGCAGTCTGAGTGTAAATTTGACCAACTTCATTATCTGTATTCAGTGGGCTTGACTCCAACTATATGAAAATAATACGTGACAACCATTTATTTGCTAAGCATATCCTCTATGAAAATAGGCTCACATCCCTATTGTTGTCTGTTGAAATCACACTGTTTAGGGAATTCCTAATACCCGACAATAGCCAATGTGACTTAAAAACCAGTCAAGAGAATAATATTTCCCTGGAACGGGTTTCTGTTCAGTTTTGTTTGTTCAGCCCCAACGAATCTGTCAATTTCATTTCTTGTACAAACAAACATCAACACCTGCTGCAAAAAATTAGAAATTACTTTATTTTAAGAATCACTGTCCTAAATATCAACCTTCGAAAGTAAGTTAACTGATGTTTACGGTCTCTAATCAAAGAATTTTCGAAACAGTTATTGACTGTGCTATTTATTCAAAATGCAAATAATTTGTTGTTTCCATTAGCTTACATGCGCTTTGTTTTATCGACTTCTGTTATATAAACAGTAGATTTTCAGCCAATATTGCTCAGTTTCAACCTATTATCAGGATACAACATCCTTTTAACTCAAATAGCTTGATATCAGTATTTATTCATAGCAGTGCGCTGAGACTCTGAAAACTTACCAGTGTAGCCAATCCTGATCTGAAAATATATAATGGTATTCCACTTCAAATCAAGAATCAGTGTTACTATTTCCTCCAAGTGCTTTTATATGTTCAGTCCTCCATCACAGAAGGAGTTTGCTGAATCACTTTGTTGAAATCAGACAATTTCTGCAGTTCTGTGAAATCAACCCTAAAATAAGCCTATTTGCTTGATAGTTGTTGAAATCCTTGGCTCAAAATTCAGTATGGAGAAGAACAAAAGTTAAAAAATTTCGGGCTAGTGAAATGTGGTCTTTCCGAACTCATGTCACAAAACGTATTTTTCACTTGTGCTGAACAGATACTGATCAAGTATGTTATCAAATTGGCTACAACAGTTATGGCTTGTTCTGTAGAGGTTCTTCACATCTGAGTGATAAATGCACGGAACCTTGATTATTGATTTTTTTTAACCATTAGTACCACTGAAATTGTATGTTTCAAAATGTATTTTAGCAGTTATCAACGGGCTATTGCTGTTTAATACAACCAGTTATAGGTGTGATACACTTTATGAGCAGTTTAGATCTTAAACGAAGATTCTTTCAAAGTATTTGAACACTAAAACTCATCATCATCCATTTACTTCCTCAGTAATAATAAAAAGTTTATCTATGAAAAGCTGAAACATGTTTCTCAAACTAATGACTAGAAATAGCATAAATGTTGTTGTTTCTTTAAATCGTATTAAAGTAATCACTTACTTCTTGACGTGTGATTTCCATTGCTATCTGTCCTATACTGATTTGGTTTGCTTTTCTGTATAAACGTTCAGAGTCTTTAATACTTACATCAAATATACCATTATTACACAAATCTCTCCATAATTCCAAAGCGTCACTCTTAAGTACATTATGTGATAAGTAGTCAATTAAAAATACATTAAGGTTATTCTGTGCAACTTTTGTGTGGTTATGCTGACGTCTTTCATAAGGCATTGGTTCTTCATACACGTCTGATTTTGTAAACATAAGTTGCAGAATCTCTTTCCCAACGGGTTCAATGGTATTGGGATGACTCGCGTCTGACTGGTATCCATGAATCCGTAGTTTACACCCGACTAGATCCATATAAACACTTGGAATACTGAAATGTTCTGAATGTTGGTGTTTGGCATGCCTTCTTGGAGACCACTTATTGCTGGTCATATATTGTGACTCGTGGTCTATCACATGTTTCTTCTGTTCCCGTATGAGACCAAGTCTTATTAAACGTGACGAAGTACACATGAATAGTCTCCATTGTAACTGAAATGGATCTGTTATCGAACAGCTATCTGAGAAATTGGTATTTTCACAACTATTTAGAGGAAAATTAACCACAGTCAACCGTTCATATAATTTCATTTCTAGGGTAAAGGTGAAGTTTGATGAAACTGAGCTTAGCAGAAAGGCTGAAACTGAACTGTGTAGTTTAGCCTTTACTGAGTATTTACTTGAATCACACTTTGTATTATCCACCCGACCTTGATCTGTTTGTTTATGTTTTAAATCGTGTTTTGTTTTCTCATCAAATTTACAACAGTGAGCTTTCATTGGCCATCCATGCGATCCTATCAAAAATTCCATCAGTCCTGTATTACAGTCACCCGGCAAATATGCTTTACATGTTAAATGAATCCAATTTGTTCCAAGTGGTTTTTCAATTTCTTGATATGTACAGTTATTTTTATGTGGTATCTGTTTTGTTAAACACAACTCTACATCTGCACACAAGTTTTGATTATCGCCGTTATTCAGATTTGCATTTGGCAGTGAGTCACGATACGGTTCAATGTCAATTGTTAGCACCCATGAATCATCAGCATAAAAAAATTGGTCGGTTTCGAAATGAATTGTCCCTGGAAACGTAATTGTAGTATTGTCCATACGTCTGAGTATTATAGGATTGATATTACGAGATTTGTTTACTTTTTTATTCAGCGGTGACAGTATTGCTGGGTCTTTTACTTGATTAGCTTGTAACTTTATACACACGCGTGGATTACGTAATCCCAATTCTATGATACACTTACCGTCATCAAATAAAAAGCGCTTTGAAGATAATGATGCCAAATCGATAACATTTTTACGTCCATGTCTAAAATCACTCTGTGTAAATGTACAATTTAATTTAGAAAAACATTCATTTTGGCTAAAAATATCACGATTTCTTATAATGAACTCAAAGTCTACTGTAACAGTTTTCCACTGTGTTATACGTTTGTTTATTTTATGCTTTGATTTGCAAGGGGCCGAGTTTGCTGTTTGTGTTGATGTCTTTGAAGCATTTTCATAGCTTTCATATCTTCGTGTCAACAATTCTAAGAAAAAGCCTAAATGTGTATCTGTCCGCTCAAATCTTACAATCCATTCATGTTCAGCATACTGAAATATCCTTGTTTGAACATAATCGACTAAACCACACAAAAGGTGTGGTAGTAAAAGGAAGGTAAATATTTGTGTGTTATCTGAATCATTCATGTGCACATAACGATGTAGTGGGGCTAAACAGGCATTTTCAGCATCATTCAACTTATGCTGTTCCTCATCAAAATCAGAATGCTGTCGATCAACGGAGGAATAGGCTCTATGAGGATGATGTAGATTTGTCATGGATTAACTAATTAATAGAAACATATTTTACCATAAAATATATCTACTAATGTATCATGAGATATTTATTTTGTTATTCAAACATTTATGGCAAACAAACCGTTGTTTTTCAAATGAGAGTTGATTCTCAAATTTTAATTGGTAAGTATCTGATTGGCCTGAATTTCAGATGGAAAAAACCATTGGATAAAAATATGTTTCCCTTTTATTTATGTTTGAGATACATATTTTAGAAAATAGCCTACTCAGAGACTGAAAAACACCATCAAGAGAATTTATTTCTTTTCATAGCATGCGATATGTAAGCAGACTGTTTTATTCTGTTCCCCCACCTTCTCTGTTATAAGCTAATGGAAACGTCCTTACTTATCTGAGTTACCATTAAAATACAACTCGGTATTTAGGTTGTACTACTCTTTAGGTGCAATGTTATAATTGCTCCCAAAAACCGGATTACTATTTGCTTATAATTCTTATTTTTTAAAAACGTGAAATGTTCACTTCTTGTCTGCCACTGCCTTTTTTGAATCATACATGACATATCCCTTCCTTCTAGTGAATCTCAGGGATATTTAAAATGGCTTTTGTTGGGCAACAGAAAAAATGGAGAAATATCTTAAGAAAAAAAATCAAGATATATAGATCATAGTCATACACTTAATAGTTTGTATTGAAAATTATGACTTTAGAGATGCAACATTCAGTTAAGTAAGTTTGGCAAAGGTTCCTTAAGCCTTCTTAGAATGTAGCTTCACTTTCATTCAACTGTTTCTGACGCAACACTTGATTTAATGTTGTTGTTTCAATAGTACCAAGTTAGCTATCTAGACAGCTTTTTCTTGGTGTAATATTCCGAAATATCAATCGAACGTTCTCAGAATTCAAACTTTTTGAGAAACTGCTTATATACTGAGTGAGTGACTTATCTTTTTCCCAGGGCATCAATACGAAGAAGAATCAGGCTGAAAGAAAGACCATATGAAAAGAGTGGAACATAATCAAAACTAGTTAAGCTGAGGAGTAACTCTAGGATTTAGAATGAATTCCTGATGATTTGTGCATTGCATTATTACCCAAATAAAGTATTTTTCTTGCGACAAAAAAGGCCATATCTCAACGTTCTATCTTCTTTATGTCTAAAGAATAAACGACCACCAATATATAACGAGCTTTCTGGTTCAGTGAAATAGCCTTTGAATTTACATACTTAGTGTGTGATATCTTAGGTGTTGGGGAACTCAAGTTGATAGGACCATTCGCAGAGACTTGATACATTTCCGAGGAAGTGAAGGCACCAAATAATTGTTGAAAGCCTAGATATGTGTAGTGGCAATCAGGTGTAATCTCGTTACTTCTAAAGTGTATCTTGTTCTGTGTTTAGATGTTTACAACTAGTATTGCATAGCCTTTGACTTTTTCAGTTCCTATATCTTATAACATCGATTAGATCTGATACAAAAATACTTCTTGGTTCTTGAAATCCTGTTCTTATTAATACGATAGATCAATCATTTATGAACAAATTTTCCTGTTCAGAAGTCTAGAGTCATTCATCTCACTGTCTTATTGAAATAAGTATACTTGGTATGGATGTAGTTTTTCATTTATCTGATCCTGACTAAACTTTCAAGCATCTGAGAATTTGATGACCGTATCACAGTCAGTCACAGCCTGACAGTCTAGGGGTGGAATCACCACTGCTTTCGTAGATTTTCACTGATGAAGAAGTGGCTAAACATTCAACTTAACTTCGCTCATCCTGAGCATTTTTTATATCATGTGTAATGAGCTGTAAAATACCAGTGTAAAATCCATCTAATTTTCAAAACCGATTGTCGATAGATAGTTAGCATCGTCAGCTTTGAAAGAATGACTGGATATAGAGAAACTGATTTAATCAGGCATCTCTCAGGATGAGAATATAAAGCCAATTGAACGTAACCTCAAGAAATAGTCTATCCATTTATTTTCAGAAGCAATGTGTACTTTAATCAAATAGATGTTTCAGTATTAGTGAAAATAAAAACCTGTTGTGGCCTACACTAATCAGACTTGTTAGTGTCAAAAATTTGGCCACTGCGTTACTTAAAGACAGTGTAAATGGGTAAGTGCTTCATTTATTACAGATAAGATTGTAGTGATGTGTAGTTCACTTTGAGGGGTTGTTTAATGGATACTTTAGGTACTTTTCAGTTACCTATAAGTCGTATTCAGGTTGAGTGGTATATTGACACAAACCCTGCCAGCCAGACATGAAATCATTTGTTTGTTTCAATTCACTGGTTACTGTGTTCTCCAAGATATATGAGGAAGCCGACTGCGGTAACTGTGAAAATTTTCCTGAAGCACCCTGTTATCTGACGGGAATCGGAGACGATGAGTTTAAAAGGACCACAACTGCTTCAAATGTAGCCGCATTTTTTTATTCAAAAACTGTATTTGGATCTAAGGATTATGTGTTAATTCCTCCAAGTGAACTTTACATCTGGTAAAAATTTCAGTTACGTGGTGTTAATTACTTTTCCAACACAAGAAAGTAACAGTAAAAGGTCAAAAAAGTAGAAGAAATCAAAAGTTACATTCGACCATATTAAAGTGTTACATGTTACACTATGAAAGCGGGGAGGACTTTAGGAATTACATATCGAATTAGCAAACTGATTAAAACGTTATGTAAATTTGTCGTATTCAAATAGATAACACTTTGGTTTTTATTGAAGTAACTCTCTTCAATCATGTTGTATTATCCAGCAAAGTCATTATGTGAACCAAGAGTATACAGTGTATTCATTTTACATGAAAGAAAGAACTGGGCTAATTTCTTCAAGACTAGAAAACGTTAGGCGTTAGATGCCAGGAACCGACCAGCGGAAATTTTTGAAACTAGCTTCCTTGGTTCCTGATACTCATCAGCAGAAAGTGTCTGCAAGTATCTAGTAGTTTATGTGTTGCCGGGAACTCTAACCTACACCAGCGGCCTACTGGAATATATATACGGCCCCTGAAAGTTTGATTTCAGTGTAAAAACAAAATTACTTTACTATTGAAAATGAGATTTTCTCTAAATCTTATCAGCTATCAAACTGTCTGTCAGGTTAGTAATACACCATGCTTTGCATACAGTTCGCATAAAGGAATAAGGAGTTAAAAGCAGCCAATTATTAAGGCTAAACTAGTGCGTTTTCGGAATGTATATTAAGAAGATGCCTATGGTTTGAAATTTAGCAAGCCTAAGTAATTACCAAACATCTGTAAAATAGGAAAGTAGCATTTCTAAGTTGTTGGAAGCAGCACTAGTGATATAATTCTAAAAAATGATCAACAGGATTGTTAAAAGGCTTACTGCAGTAAACCACATGTTGAAGGTGATCGGTCTCTTCTACTTTAGTAATTTAATAAGTCCTTTTATTCTTGGATAATTTAACACTCATTTTTTTCCACAAAAGTCTAAACTTTTTGAAAACAGTGATAAAAGTAACATGCGATTTATCAGCTTAGATATATTTATGCTGAAATTTAATTTGGCTGCTATATTCGAAAATATGGAATAAAGCTACAGTATAAAACATTTTGCAAGCAACTTTGTCATGAAGCACACCAAGTAGTTACTATGCTCTACATCGCGAAAAAATAAGAATTAGTTTATTTGGAAATTTAATAATACTTTTCTAATTCCATTGTTGTGATTCAGTTGAATGAAAACGAAATTTTTCGAAAGTCAAATTAGGCTATCTCTCGTGCTTATTTATTTAATTTTATCACGTCACTGTGTTGAAAGAGTATTCAGATTCTTCTTGTCTGCTTTTTTGAAAAAGAATGACTAGGAGTTTGTATTTCTGAGAATGAGAACAGTTATAGCCATGTGCTTTAAGTATTGTTTAATCTTAATTGACATGAAGTAGATATTGTCTGATAGTAAGACTAATTTATGCATATTTCAAAACCATAGTTTCCCTAACCTCGTTTGTACATATTCTGACAGTTGTATACAAACTCAATGTATTATGAATCATCTTACATGGTTTTCCAGATCGATGTAATCAGAGAAAGTTGCGAACATAAGGCCTACTTGTAGGAAACTGATAGTCCACACCACTGCCTGGCTGGTCCACGTGATCACACACAAAAATGTGTTGAATCTGTTACAGGAACAACTGAAAGTATCAAATTAAATTGGTATTAACAAAAGTGATGCACAATGTGTGAGAATAGATTACCTCCGTTTCGCGATTCCAATTACATTCAAACCTAGTAATGTACAACTTCAACTTTTGCACGAGCATTAAAATTTTCACATATTCACAGTTCACCAAATCTAAATTGAGTGACTTCTTCAAAATAACTTTAACTGTGATAGACCCCTTATGACTTTGTGTCTCTGAATGCTGCGGCAGAAAACTAGGCCTAAATTTTGTTCAAATTATTCAAAAATAGTGAAACATCAGTTTGATATTTCATTGGAACACCTTTCATCAAGATCTTTTGCAATACTTATATAAATATAATTTATCATTATCTTCCTTTAAGCTGAGTGATAATGTGTGAAAGTGGTCCGTCTTAAAAACGCTGAGCCTACCATTCAGAAAGAAATGTCCCAGCAATTTTTACACTTATCAATGATTACCGTTTCTTGTGAGAACCAATAGTCAGTTAAAATTTTAGAATCCTCCAATGGTTTCTCTACTGCAGTTATAATTCTAGACAATAGTATTCCCCGTCTATCTTATCTAACCAGTTCCAGACAATTAAATAGTAACATTTATATATATTGTTATTTCTTTTGTACTGGTATTTAAACACTAAAAGACAGCATTAGCTGGAGAAAAACTGCCAAAGTACAATAAATTTCTTTTTTCGATCCCGCTGTCTGCGTAGATATTTTCGAATCTTCAGTATTTTTCTGCAGAGGATAAGAGAAATAAAAATTTGTTTGAAGTGCGTGACTGATCTCACTGATCAAGAGAAATTCATATCCCTCGCTTGTTTTCAAATAATACTAAAATATGAATTTTCATCAGTGGAATAATCGTCAGCTTTCTAATATTGTGAAACGAGATGCCGAACTCT